TCAAACCATACCACAGATAAAAAAACAAGGAAAGAAAGAAAGAAAGAAAGAAAGAAAAGCATACATGTTGCAGGTTAACTTTGCTTTATCCAGACTCTTGCTTACTTTTATCTTTCCTAATCACATCATTTCATGCATACTGTGTGTATCTACTGTTAGTTCTTTAATCTTGCTTTTGCTTCAACTCAATTTCTGTAAATTGTCAATACTGAATTTTTGGGGGCATGTCGTTGATTTGATAACAGAAAAACGAATTTCAGTATTTGGTTGGATTTTTTTCGCATAGGTAGTCCAATTTTGTGGGGTGGTGATCAGCCTACTTATCAGGCACGTGTTCTTGAAAAGGTTTCAGATATGTTTGTGGATTTACTGCACCCTGAAATTACAATATATGTATTGTATCAATGAAACAATTGGTAGTGATAATATCCTAAATAAGAACAAAAGCATTTGGAGCGGAAATTGTTGTTTAATTGTCGAAATCATTAGAAGATTAAATGGTAACGCAAACAGCTGTGAGAATCTTATACCCAAAAAGCCAAACTGCTAAGGTTGTATCACGCACATCACTTTGGCCAAAGCAGTCAATGGATAATGATTAGTTTCTCTAGAAGGGGTGATTATTGCTTCTGAAGATTGGAACCTAAATTAAGGGTTTGTTGGGTTTATTGCGGTCACTACATAGAGCTTCAATTAATGGATTCTTTCCGTAGCAAATGTGACCACTTTGTTTCTTTGCTTTATTTTCCCTTTTTATACAGTCCACTGATCCTTCTCTCCTTTTTGCTTTATCTGTTCCTCTTCTTTATACCTCTATCTAGTCTCTAAGTTTTGAATAACTTTGTTCTTTAGCTGAAGTATGGAATTAGACCACTTAGAATTTCCTTGGCAAACGGGTTAAGCATTTTTAAACTTCTTCAACAAATCGAATCTTTGGATTCATTGGTTGGAGAAAGGTATGTACTTACTTTACTTTGTTCTTTGGCCACAATCTGAAAATCTTATGAGATGCTTGTTTAAATGCCATATAAACGTCATGAACCTATTCTCAATGTAACTGGTTCAATACTCTAACCCTATTGCTATGATAATAGTAGCTTGCTCTTTTTTTATTTCTTTGATTGCTACATTTTAAGTTATTGTAAGTGGGAGTAAAATATGACAAGACAAAAAGGAATAAAGTTAGAGTGACTATCTAATTTTTCATTAAGTATCAGCATAACTATTACTCTTTTATCTTTAGATTCCTATTCAAAATAATGTGTTATCTTGATTATCAAGTTATGAAATTAATGTACCGAAATTGATATCTCCTTTTATTGACTGTGTGATGGGAATGAATAGGTTAGCAATGCAATGAGTTATGTTGGCTTTGAAACCTAAATAAGGGGATGAAAAATTTAGTCCATTATTCCATATTATCAATGAAAGGGCACAAAGGCCAGTGCCATGGATTGAATTTTTTTGGTGGGGTAATGTAATTTGGATCTTTTATTAATTAAAATGCGTAGGGTTCATATCTTTTCTTGTTCAGTCATATTACCAAACTATATATATAATATTGAATTCATAGATTGGAGCGAATCCGACCACTCTGTTTCTTCTGCAAAATTGTTTTGTTCTGTTCATTAATTTTTTATTCCTTCTTTTTTGCATTTTCCTTTTCTCTTTCTGATCAAATCCTTGAGCACTTTGGGAAAAGCATGAAAACAACTTAAATCTCTTAAGCTTGGTTGTGTCTGGGCCTTTGTGTCCCGTAAGTCTTTGAGAAAAGCTTTGTAATCACTGTATTCGTGGATACCTGCTTTAGCATCTCGAGCCTTCAAACTGTATATGTTCTTTGGCTTTGTCTATATTTTTTTCCTTTTTCTTTATACCTTTATCAAGTCTGTAAGCTATGAATAACCTGTACTTTAGGTAATTGAGAGCGGAATTAAACAACTTTATTCCTCGGCAATCGGCTTAAGCACTTTGAAACTTCATCAACATGTGTGGACTTTTGGATGAATCGGTTCTTTGAGTAAGTTATTTAATCACTCCACTTCGTTATTCGGCCACCATCTGAAAATATTGTAAAATGTCTTATAGTTGTTATGAATCTATTCTCAAGTAGCGACCTTAGTTCACGTTACTTCCTTTGTCCTTACTTCTCCCTTAAAAAGATGAAACGTGAAAGACAATTACTAAAAATGATTTACTACGCAAAGCATATATATAATCACCTTTTTCTTTCCTTTTGGTGCACAGCTTTCCCTTTGATTCTCTCAATATCTCTTTCCACTTTGGTTTGCTTTCGTCTCAACTTGTTCTGTTTGTTGGCTCTTCTATTTTATCATTTTTTCAGAATCACCTGTTTTTTTACCTCAAAGGTCCAAATAAAGGAAAAAAAAAAAAAAAAAAAACAAAATTAGAAGATGGCTGGGGCTTTTGTTTCTTTCGCTGCTCGGAATGTTGTCGGAGATATCGGGAACCTATGGAAAAGATCTTTAATCAACTACTAATAATCTTTAGTCCAACAGATATTTATCAAATGAGAAATGATAATAAGGACAAAAATTTAAGACTAATTGCATGGTATAAGACATATTATTAAATTAGTTGATACACATAATATTATATATCTAAAAAAATAAAAATAATCAATCATTAAATAAAATAAAGTCCATCTTTTAATATTTTAAATGACATAACTTATATTATATCATTGATTTCAAGTTTTGATCCTTTTTATCATTATTCTTGTTGTATATATACATTAAAGAGTTGAAGAGTTAATTGAGGCAAGTTACATAGCATGCCATTGAGGTGAATAAAGGATTAAGATTACGTTTAGGATATAATGCTTTTTCACACATCTTATTAAAAGTGTTATAATTTATTATTGTTATGGTTAAATTAATTTTAATTATTTTTTGTATAATTTAGTAGTTGTATTAATGTATAATATTTTTTTTTTCAAAATAACTATCAAACAATACTTTAAAAGTCACAATTACAACAATCTCAAATACAAACTAAAAGTGATTATATTTCATTATACAATTAAAAATAAATGAGAAAAAAAGTTGTAACTATGGCATTTTCAAAAAATTAATGCTTAAACCCGTTTGAGATCAGTTTCATAATCCAGTGATTTCGGAAGAAGCATAGCATGGCTATATCTTTACTAATTATTTTTTTTATTAATTTTTCGGTATTCGATAACTACATTAGATCTTAATTAATCTGAAATTAAGTTGTATCAAATCCCATAAAAAAGAAACTCTCCGAACGTCTATTTCTCTATTTATAAAACTTGAATTTAATACTTTATTTAAAAGAAATTAAACTATTTTTATTTAGACTAATAAGACATTGGTATATCTCTACTAATTATAAGTATACTAATATTGCCCAATAGTTTTCTGTAATATAGTGAAAAGTACCCAAATAATTGCATAAATAAATACTGCACCCAACTAACCTTTTAAGAAAAACTCAAAAACGAGTTTAACATCTAATTAAAAAAGCTAATATTATTAAAAATAAATGTGTAATTATAATAAAAATAAAATTATAACCAATTACCATTGTGATCCAATGAGCACAATTCTTTTGAATTGAGCTAAATGTTCAAATTTATGTAATTCTTCAACAAACAATACTTAGTGGGTATTAAACGCACTCCACTAAGGTTCCTAAAAGAAAAAAGCACGTGACCACTAATGTGTGAATTCTATATTTTCAATGAAATTACTTGTCAATTTCTTAAAAAGGTCGACAGATGATGTTTATGTGGATGTGTGAAAGAACGTAATAATTTAATAATAAAATAAAAATAAATAAATAAATACACAAAAAAAGTGTGAAAGCTAAATGATTACTACTGCCGCCACTTGTGCTTTTCTTAGTGAAAGCAAAAATATAGATCGCAAGAGGTCCAATGGGTCACAAAAATAACGTTTAATGAGGTATGAGACCAAAAAATACAAATTTTAATAATGGTTTTTTTAATTTGTG